TATATAATTAATTATATATTAATATAATTATATATTATATATTAATAAATATATATATATATATATATATATATATATAATGTAATTATTCGAATAAATAATATTAGTATATAATTTTCCTTTCTTTTATTAACCGGATGTGTGTTATTGGAATCGTTCGAATCTATGGCAAAAACGTAATAAAGATCGTTTCAAATCGAAGGACGAAAAATATAGTAGTATAAGTATCTCGACATGTTACATATATGTATGACATGTTATACATATATATATATTTTTTTTTTCATCGAAGAAAGTAGTCTTTATGCTTTGTTTGACCATAGACAGGAATACGCCCACATGAGTGGTCAATAATCTCTGACTCATAATACCCTTAAACAATAGAATGGGTCCACTTCGTCATCCTATTATCTGTCGCACTTTTGGTGAAAATTAGTTTGCATCCTGTTAATCATATTTTAATGAGTTATTTTTGAAAAATCGATCATTTCTTTGTTGTTGTTTTTTTTTTTGCTATTTCTCTATCGATTTTTATAAATATTTTTATCTGTTTTTTTTTTTTTATATACTTATGTAATTATTTATTTCCGGTTATAAGAAATATCTATTATTATTCTAGTAATAATAAATGACTCGTAAAGAAAGTTGAAGAAATCCATGAATTCGCATTAATTAAAAAGTTACCGTAAATTTATGAACAAAATAAAATAAAACAAAACAAAATATTATAAAAATATTTCTAAAAGATAAAAATATAATGTTTTACATTAGATCTTATATTAAATTAAGTAGAATATTATTTGTCTATGTATATTTTATTTTTAATAAAATCCGAAAAAAATACGTGGAAATTATTTCATATTTCAATTTTCTTTTGTTGTTGTTGTTGTTGTACTTTTCAATCTACAATAAATTTAATTATAACTAAAATTAAAAAAATAAAATTTAATTTTTAGTAATCTAAAAAATCTTTTAATAATTCTATTTATAATTAAATATTATTGAGTTAATAACTAACAATTATTTGATTTAAACATCCAAAATCCTATTTTAATTGATCAAAATTAGAGAAAAAAAAATAGAAAAAAAATAATAATAAAAAGATCAAAGAAATATAATAATATGGTTGAATATTGAAAGAAGAAATTTGAAATGTTCGATCAATCGAGTTACGGTTGATCGGTAAGCTTATGTCATCGATGCATAACGTAACATATATATATATATATATATATTTATGAAGACACACCCTCACACACATACATACAAGTTGTCAAAAGGTTTATGTTCTTATTTCGATCGACGTTCACGAGACATCGCAAAGAGAGACACTTCCGAGTAGAATAATCTTGAAATAAAAAGGACGTTCCGACTTTCTAACAGGTGCCAGACGAAAATTTCCTTTCAAGTAGGCCAACGTAAGTATATAAGACCTATACTTTAAACTTCAATGTATTTTCGTACTTCATTAGAATTTTATTCACGTATATAATATATAGAAGTGTAAAACATACGATGTTAAGCAAATGTAAACGCGTGATTTTGTTAATCTTACTACAAATTGATTGATTGTAAGTCTGTTTGAACAGACGACACGTGAATTATTTTACGAATCACTTTGAACAATTTCATTTAAACGTAGGTATGCATTTCGTTATCGAACAGGAAACGAATGATATTATATTTAAGCTACTGACTATATACCTTGCTAGACTTCTCTCTTTGATTTAACGAAATATATATATATATATATACGTACGATGTAATATGTCTCGTACGTGTTTCAACATCAGATAAGATACTTCAAAAATGAAATTCTATCTCTGGGGCAATAAGCTCTGAGTTTCAGGAATTGTATCCATGATCTATATATTACATATTCTTATAGCATATCTTACGTTACATTGAAATTATTTGTAAATATAATTAATAAATTAAATATTGTTTTTTACATTTATTAAATTACACAAAATTTGAATTCAATGTGTGTGACTATAATTATAAATTTATATTTATAAGTAAATGAGTATATTTTTTTCTTTAATTACAGTATTATAAATCTGTATTGGGATCTCTAACACTTGAATACGCTATCTGGTAGCTAAATTCAAAATTAGATTAGATAGGTCAAATTGCTACGCCACACATGGGGATCTCTAGCACTTGAATACGCTATCTGGTAGCTAAATTCAAAATTAGAATAAATAGGTCGAATTTTGCTACCCCACACCCCTACCCCAGAGATCGCAATACTTAATATTTGAATTTTACTGAATTTCCAATCAAATTTTTGACCATTCTTCAATGATTGTAATTTTCAAGAAAAAAGATACATAGTAATTTGTGAACTTTTTTTTCTTTTTTTTGAAAAAGAACAAGTGAAAACAATGACCCTCGCAGTTTGAATCAAAAGAAAGTAAAGTTACACGATCCGATTCCATACGATTTCAATAAATTACGTGCTAAACGGTGCGTTCGATTTGTCGAGGAGTGAAAAGTGATGAATCAAAAGAAACGATGGAGGAAGGGGGAGTTGAGATGGAGGAGGAGGAGGAGGAGGAGGATTTACTTTTCGATCTGGGTGAAGATCGAAGGAATAAAAAAAAAAAAAAAATAGAAAGAGATCGAAAGTATCGCGTAGGATCTGTGATTTTCCTTTTCGTTCGTTCGTTCGTTCATTCGATTTACGGATCAGCGAGTGTTGATTTCACACGCCGATAAATTCTTAGAATTTTCTAAAAAAAAAAAAAAAAAAATACATTAAAGGTCCCTTCCAGTTGAGCTCACTAATATCATTTTTTTGTTTTTTTAATTCCATTTCATTTTCTTATATTTATTTATTTATTTATTTATGATTTGAAGAAATGAGAGAGGGAGAGAGAGAGAGAGAGAGAGAAATAGAGTCGAATATAAGAAAGGAAAATTATTCTTAATTGATTCGTTTATTGTTGGTAATAAAATGAATGGTTAATTGAGAGAAAATAAAAAAAATCACGATTTCGCGGTAAATTTAATTAATGTTTGTATTAAATAAGAAAATAAATCGTTTATAATGAGTTCTTCAAGAATTAATACGTACGTTTAGATTTAAATGAACACGTACACGCATCCACCTACGCACGTACCCATATTAAACCTGTAGAAATGAAAAGAAATGAAAAGAAAAAGGTTTATTCGTTATGAAAGTAAATTAATCTCCATAACGTTAATCTTACCCCCGCTACTCGTGTGCTCATTTGTCTCTTTTCTATGCATCGTGTTCAAGAGTAACAACAAGTTGACCTTCTTACAAAGATCGTATTTAAGTTTAGTCCTTGTTACTCGTGAAGATGATACTTCGTTAAGAATTTCCTAATGAATGTTAGTTATCCGAAGAATTAAACGAAAATAATTAATTACGTTTCTCAAACTTCTTGGATTAACTTCATGCATACGGCCATTTTGAAATTTCTTTTAATTAAATAAGAATCCTTAAGATTGATTTCAATAATTTCAATGTTTTTCTTTGTACAAAGATTTCATTAGACAGCAGCAGATGATTAATACAATTTTACAACTCATGAAACTATCCTAAGATATTTTTGTCGTTGATAATTGTATTTAATTAAAAAAGATTATTGAATTATTTGATTATTGTATTTTCTTGTTATATATATATATTTTTTTTTTGTTTAGGTAAATAAATCGAAATTAGGGATATCTGTATAATGGGTTTTATCTCATTCTTTTCCTCCCTACCAACTTTTAAATATAATTTCATCAAATTTGATCGTCCCCGTTCACCCACCTAAAAAGTTTCACTCTTCAAAAGTTCAAAATTGATGGATTACTTAACGAACTTTCCCACATTCAGAGGTCAGGGACTCCTTTAAAAGCATTTCCTCGAACTCGTCGACTTGTTATAATTCAGTGAGAGGAGTGGTCCACATAGAAAGAATGAAACCATGAAAGAATGAAAGAATAAAAGAAATAAACATTCGTTTGGTAAGTCTACTACACGTCTCTCTCTCTCTCTCTCTCTGTATAAATGCGAATGCGTAAGAAACACTTTCACCAACACCCGACGTTCGGCCCCTCATAAGAGAAAGTTCCAACGCCCCTCTGTTACGCCCCTGCACTAAACAAATCAACCGTAAAGAGGAAAATATGGTGAGAGAAAAAAAAAATAAACAACTAGAAAATGGAAGGTGATCTTTTGACCGAGAACGAAAGGACGTTGTCCAAGGACGATTAGATTGTTCCTCCCCTTCCATTCTAAATTAGACCGCCATATTTTGTTATTGTTGTTGTTGTTGTTTACACATACATTTCTTCATTGTTTTACAGATCACGTGTTACATTATTTTATCAAATAGAATGATTGAATAATACATTTTTTGTTTTTTTTTTTTTTTTAGAAACTTCTATGTGACTTTATACAAGTTTTTTTTCAACAATTTTAACTTCATCGTTATGCTATGCTAAATACGAGTAGTTATAATACGACGCCATTTTGCAAAAAAATAATTATTATTTACAAACTTAAATTCGTCGGATTTTCAAAGAAAAAGAAAAAAATTGGATTATCTTTTTTATTATTGCAAAAAAGAAAAATGAGATAAATTCTTTAGTAAATTAAACTGTGAGAGATTTTATTTGAGAGACCTTCACGAAAGATTGCAGTTGATGTTCTTCTTTTGCGATCACGTAACACATGCCACCCAACAGGTAGGGCTTTATTTCGTCAGTTTTTTTTTTTTTTTAAACATAACAATTATCTTCAAACATTGTCATTTGTAAATAGTTAGTTATATTTCATCGTGATTTTTGGCAACCTTTCTTCTACGCAATATTTTATTCTAAGTATAAACTCTCTTGCTATTAATAGATGCATAAATAATAATATAATAACATAAACTATTTTTTTTTGTTTTTTTCAGAGAATTCTTACAATTTGAAAATAAATTTCAATTTACATATATCCACGATACGATATAAGTTAAATGATTTTTTTTTCTTTTTTTTTTTTTCAATTTATTATTATGCGGAAAAAGTCACATTTTCTGGTTATTATGAACTCATTAACATATGCAAAACATGTCAGTATTATATAATCAAAGTTGTGTAGTACGATTAAATAATTTCTCTTCTGTAACTACAATAAATTGATACTGATATTATAAATGTAAATGTATATAGGTGTTTATACATTTTAATTATATTTAATACATATTTTTATATACATAATAAACATATAATATATATAAGTAAGTATAAATAATTGTATATTATACAGGGTGAGTCAAAAGTTATTACATGATTTTTACCTTATTTATTTATTATAGTTTTGTTTGTGCGAATATACAATTGAAGTTTTGTGTGTAATTTTATTTTTAAAAATGCAAACACACACACACATATGTCTATTTTAAAATGTAATGTTAACAAATATACTCATTCATACACAAAATACATGGTTGGGTTGAAAATTTGAAGTCACTTTTATTTAAAAAAAAAAAAAAAATAAAGTATATTTTGGAAGTTTAAAACTTGTCAACCCACCCTTGTACATATTATTACTCTTATGTAATTGAATTAAATTCTAAGAAAATATTTTATAGAATAATTCAATAATTTTATTATTCAAATTTATTGTGACATTGACAAAATTGAATAGCCTCAAAATGTTTAGCTTACTTAGGAACTTTTAACCCATCCTGTATATAATGTAATATTACATCTATATATATATATATATATATATATATGACTATATGTAATATATTTTACATGACGTGATTACAAAAAAAAAAAAAAAAAGGATAAACATATGCATTTAAATTTGAATAAATTGAAACAACAACAAATGTTATTACATAGAAGATTGAACTTATTAATTTGTAAATATAAATAATTGTGTGTTTCAACTTGATAGTATTTATATTACATATCGTTTTACAAAAGTTAACACAGGAGCAAGTTTGGTATGCAACGAGATAACTCGCTACTATTTATCCATTTACGTTTTGTTGGTAATGGCAACGTAACTTTACAGGAAATGCCTTGCTAAACGTTAAAAGGGGAAAATTTTCTCCAGAGTTAACGGTGAACGTACATGTATGTATATAATATTGTTTTATTTTTGTTCTTTTTTTTCTTCTAGCTATAACGAAACGTTGTTACTCTGGATATAGTATAAACATAAACATAAAAAAAGAAAAAAGAAGTTTCTAGTGATTATAAAAATACAAATACAAGTTTGAACAGATTGCAGAGTGAAACTTGTGTACGCGTAAAAATTTTGATATCTTTTTTTTTTATCTTATTTTTATATCTTCTATAATAAATAAAGCATATTTTGTAGATACAAAATGAGACCATAGGAGTAGATAAATAATGATATAATCATATATATATATATATATATACGTACATCGTTAATTATATACACAGTAATAAATAAATATGCGTTGAATATTAATCTTAAAATTATGACAAGTTTATTTTAATCTTATTATATATATATATATATATATATTTTCATTATTTTTCACTGTTACTTATATATTCTGATTATAATCTATTTCTTATTTATATATATATAGAAAATTAATTATACGTAATATAAAGAAAGATCAGTTAAAAGTAAAAAATATTAGATTATCATCTTATTATAGATTTAGATATATATTTACATTGATTCTCTCATTTTTCAATCTTCTCTTATTCATGATTCTTTTTGTTTATTAATGTTTTTTTTTTTTTTACATCTATAGCAATACAAAAAGAATTGTGAAAGATAGAAAAATATCTAATAATAATATTCCTAATTTTTGATGATGTTGATGATGATGATTTACGTGTATGATTCATTATAATTACATCAAGGTAAAATAATGTGACATAAATAATATTTCATATTTCTATATATTGACAAAGTAAAACTTAATATTTAATTAAATATTTGACTAAATGTATAAACAAATCATGAATAAAGACTAAAAATTAATAGCTCATCTACTCATATTAAATGTGCTTTTAAACTGAATAAAAATATTATATTTATAAACAGTATTATATTATTGATCATTTCTTTGAAAACAATCTAATTGTTTACTGACAATAAAATCAAAGTCTTTCTTCATATTTTATTTTCCAAAGTCCGTTTATGTACATCGCAAAATTTTTCCATTAATTTGTTTTGTTTTTTTTTTCCTTTTCATTTTTCACATTTTAAAAATATCTTAGCTTTTGCTTTATCCAAATGGATCATACTATATCTCAATTTCATGATTTTTTTTCATCAACATAACGAATCTCGCTAATGAACAACTTCTCAATTTGTCGTATCAATGATGCGATTTGAATATTTTTCCTAATGTATTTACCGCACTGCAGTTTTTTCTTTTTTTTTTTTTCTATATTTTGTTTTCTTTCTTAACACATGACAGTAGTCCATGATGAAACTTAGGCCCACTAAGTGCTGCTCAACTGGTTAGTCTTGAGAATTTACATTGCTAGTGAGATGAATGATTTAGTGCATTAATTGCTTTTTTCTTTTTTTTTTTTTTTGTGATTATTAGGATTATTAGGATTAGAAAACTTTTGAATTAATTATACTCAATAAAATTCTAAATCAATATTAATAATTACAGACTCACTAATTCTTGAATTAATGTCAAGAAGGACAACCAGTACACCACGGAGAAGGCCCACTGGCACTGGAGGTACGGCAGTGTGTTAAACAAAAACATATCACAATAATTGTATAAATGTGATCTCATTCATTCATTATTGTAGATGTAATAACAGTACCTAGAATATATACTTTACTATAGTAGTAGATAAATGTATAATAAATGCTATTATACATTTATATTTATGTCCTAATCATTCGATGCTTTTGGTCATGTAGTTTCAGATACTTTTTTAGATCTATTCACTTTCTTATGTTTAACCGTTTCTGTCGCAATGTCTTCAGAAAACGATGAATCTTTTAACTTTTTTCCACGACCTACGTTTCTCTCTTCATTCTCCGAACCAATCGATTCTCTATTAGATCTTCTTCTTTGACGTTGTGGTACTTGATTTTGCGACAATAATGACTCATGCATTTTTTTTCGTTTCATCTCCCACAACATTTCTTGCCTTTGTACTATCTCTGGATATCTGTATTTTAAATAATATATATATATATATATATATATTGAAACTTTACATATAATATTATTAAATTGAAATAAAGATTATACTTTTTTTGAAAATCCGTATTTGGTGATATTGGTAAACGCCATCCCTTTTTTGGTATCTGTACAGCTATGTCTGAAAATATCTCGTTTATTTCCAGGAAAGGAATTTTAATGGTGTTTGATACAGTCTTTCGATCAATATATTCTTGTTCGGTGAACAATAATAACTGAAACATATATATTCAATTAAATTTAACAAGTTAAATGTCAAGCATTTTTTGTTAAACTTTCTATTTATGTCATAATGATTTGTTAACAGTAGAAAAACATTACAGTGCCAATCATTGATGACCAACTGAACAAAAGTTTTAAGCTGGTCTATTGGAACCAACGTGGTAGCGTTTAATGTGTTAAGAAATATTATGAATAAATGTCTTTTATAAATTAATTAACATTTTTAATTAACTTTAGCGATACTTACGATATAATCTCTAGCCTTACACATGAGATCTGCTGGTATACCATTTATAGACGATTCACTTTCTTTAATATAAATAAGATCACTATTTACAATCCAGTTTCCTTGCACTAGCATAGCTATCTGTTGCAAATATTTTAATATAGATGCATTATCGTGTTCTGGTAATATGAGCAATCGTAACGTTGCGAACGACAACACTTTTACTGGAAATAATAAATACATTGAGATAATTATTAAATATTAAATTGTTCGTATAAAATAACATTGTTTTTCTTTTTTTCTTTTTATACATACTATGTCTAACATGAATCTTGACTTGATCAGGAAGCGGTAATGTTGTAATATAATCAAGAGACAGGGAACGATTTTGGACACTTTGTTCTGAATTATTAGATGGCACTAAAAATTGTAAATATTGTTTATTTGTAAGATCCAATGAATTGATACTTTCTTCGGTCGATGGACAAAACATTTCCAAACGTGTAAGCTGTAAAAATAGATAATAAAACAGTATGTTTTAAAAATTGTAAACGTTTAATAATAATAAATATACATTCGGAAAAAAAAATATAAATCAATGGTTATACACACATCGGCTTGTGTACTATTGACCGGAACATATTTCGTGTGTATCCATTTTTCTGCTGAACTCATTTTTGTAAACGTTTGAAAAGATTGTTCCTGCATCTTTTTAACAAAATCTGTTTTTTGTCTGTCAAATGTTACACTAACTTGTTTAGGTCCTTCATCTTCTTCTTCAGTATCTATATTATTAATAACATATAATATATATTAATATATACATTTTGAATGTATAAATAGAAATTAACCCTTTCGCTACGAACGCCGACTATAGGTTGGAACTTAAATAGTGGCAACTATATATTCACAACCGATACAAAAGAGTTACATGTTTGCATCTGTTCCTGTCCTTCAAAGTAGTCACCATTATTTAAGTTCCAACCTACGTATTTGTACTTACCTTCATCATTAGCTTTAGTTTCTTCTCTAGCACGTTTATCACTCTTATCAAGATAATTAAATTGTGGTCTTAATTGAACAATACTTTTAATTGGAGTTATATGTAGTTCACCATCTTGGTATACAGCAGCTGCATAATTTGTGGCCTCTGGTAATGTACGGGTAGAATGCAAAGTCATCTTATCCATTAGATCGCTAAACAAGTAATTGTTTTATTATAAATACCAAATCTTTTAGCAAATATTATATATTTTTATAAATCTAAAATGAACTCTCTTGTACGTAGGATATTTTGTAATTGATAATACAAGCGAACAGTTGATGCTTTTACATGAAAAAGTTAAGTAGAAAATGTTGAATACACAATTTGTTCATATAAAGTTTTCAAACACGTGTGTATTTAATTGAGTTTACAATCCTAGAAATCAAAAGCTTTGTTCAATAAGATAGTAAACTCCATCGAATTGAAACTGAATCCAAGTGGATGAGTAATTGATAAATATTATTTTACATTTTTGATTTAGTTTTATATGTAAAATCATCTTCTGTTCACTTGTACCATTATATTTCTTTTGTAATATCAGAAATTCTATAAATACCTGTCAAAAATTTTGTTGTCGTCTTCTTGATCAAAATTAGAATTACCATCAGCATTAATAGCAATTTGTCTTCCTTTCATTTTATCATAAGTAGGACTATATGTATCGTAAGCTATTTCTAATTTGACTTCTGTATTTTCTGGTTTTATAGAAGAATTTAAAAATGTTGCATCATCATATCCTTGATCAGCAGGACGTGTAGGATATTGAAAGATGAATAATTTATTTTCAAGAGTTTTGGATAAAAATACTGGAATCTACAAAAGTATTCATATACAAATATAAGAAAATAAAATGTGCATAGTGAAGAAGAAATATTTTGAGGTTAATCGTCTTTTTAATTCGTAATATTTATTTTTCTAATAATTTATTTACAATGTAAATAACTTCAAGTTAATTATTATTATTAATATATATTTTATTATTCGAACAAACTTCCAATCATATTATTTATTACAAAAGCGTCTAACCTCAAAATCATAAAAGAACAATAGCACATGCAATACGTATTAATAATAAATAAAATAAATATTAAATAAATATATTATTAAATTAACCTCTTTAACTACCGGATCATCATCACTATCCGTCGTATCTAAATTCGACATTTTTATTATATATTTTATTATACAGTTTGTTTTTTAATAGACAGAAAGATACCCAAATTCTTCAAGCACGTTGCAGAACTAAAACCGTAATACTTGCATTAGCACGCGTTCATGTTTAAAGATCAGATGATACCTAAGACAGAAAATTATCTGTAGATAAAAGTAGAGACCTTTAATCATTGTTACCAACTGTAGGAGAAACGTACGTATTATAATATTATATATTATTCACTTTAGTTATTATCCTATATTCTTCTCCAACATCGTAGAAATACAATTATTTAAAACTTAACAAAATGGGTGATGTACAGTTTTATATATTACAATAATAAACTAAAAATAGTCAAAGAAAAATGATGTATTATAATTAATTAAAATTCAACTTTGATATTCACATGACTCACTCATAATTGTTATGAAAAATAAATAGTTCACAATATAGTGTAACTATCTGATTGATATGCATAAATGATATAAACTTAGCGTAATATATTAATTTTATAATTATACTGTTTAGTAAAATTTATTATTCAACAAAATGACTTCGATGTTCTATCAATACGAGCAAGCATCTCAAAGATCTAAACAAGTGGTACCTCCACCAATTCGAACAGACATTGTAAGTTTACATTTATTTGATTGTATCAAAATTTAACAACATTTTTCTTATATTAATAAATAATATTGTTACAGAGTACGGCTGGATTCATTCAAATGAAATTACAAGATGATGGTCCGATATTCACTAAACAGAAAATCATATTTTCACCTTCTGATAAGATTATTCATTTAGTAGTCAGTAGTAATTTAATTGTAATAGCTATGGCTAATAATGTTCTTCTTCGTATTGATATGAAACAACCTGATAAAGTAGAAGGTATTGTATTTATACAAACATATCACATTCTAATTAATTAATTAATTAATTAATTAACTTCTAAAAGACTATTTATATGTTTACAGAAATTGACATTTCCAAATATGCTGTAGGAATGAAAATATCCAATTTATTTTTAGATCCTTTAGGTTATCATTTGTTAATAACATTAACATCAAAGAATGGAGATAATCCTCCACCAGAATTATTGTATTTACACAGGAAGACTATAAAATTAAAACAAGTATACTGAGATACAAATCTATTGTGTTATCCTACATCAATAATTTAATATGAAACATTATACTTTGACTTTCTTATTTTTAGGCTGGAAAGTTTAAAGGTCATGAAATTACAGCAGTAGGATGGAACTTTTCGAATACTTCAGAAACAGTAACTGGACCAATTCTTTTGGGCACTTCTAAAGGTTTAATTTTTGAAACGGAGATCAGCGATGGTGATAAAATATTTAATACAAGCTTGGAACAATATTGGCGACAGGTAAATTAGCAAAAGATTTTATAAGTTATTCTAATAATAATAATATCATTAGTACAATAGATTAACATAACATTATAGTTCATTGGTTTGTTTTATTCCTTAATTTATTATTTCCAAAGCTTCCTAACTATTTACCTCTTTACGGTGCTAAGGAGGTAGAAGGATTGGTAAGTGGGAAATAATTTATTTTAGCGTATCAATGGTGTGTGTCTGTTCATTAAAGCTATAACACTATCATATTTGATATTAATAAAGCTAACAAAATATTATGTTATTTAATATATTTATGAACTTTGATTTTTCTAGGTATTTGATATAGGAAAGAATAGTAAACCTCCAATTACTGGTTTAGAATTTCACAAATTACCTAACTCTGATAAATATATGATTATTGTCACTACTGTTATGCGTATTTATCAATACATTGGATCTGTACAAAATCCTGATGAAAAGCCATTATTACAACAAGTATTTAACAAATATTTAAATATACAAGGTAAGAGTAATTACTTTTCTAATGTCAAATGAAAATATTTTTGCTAATTATAATAATAATAATAATAATAATAACTTTTATTTTGTATAGAAAGTTTTATCGAAATGATAAGCTCATTAAGTTATTCAAAATTACAATTTTTCTATCCATCGCTTGGTGCATTACCAAAGTCATTTGGTTGGTTGACTGAGACTGGTATATTGTATGCATATGTAAGTAATTAGTTTGTTACAAATTCATATATAAATTATTATATATTATAAAATATAATGAAATATTTAATCTTACTTTTTTTTTTCTTTCTTTATTAGATAGATCCAAATTTATCAGATCCAAAGAGTGTATTGGTAAAGCAACAAATGATAACATGTCCTGAAACGAGTCTCATGGGAAACAACGCATCTAATATCAACACAACACCACTCTCTTTTGTATTAACGGAATTCCATGCTTTATTACTTTATCCAGATCGTGTGAAGGGCATATCGTTATTAAATCAAGATCTTATTTTTGAAGATATATATAATGATGTATATATATATGATTAATTTTTGCATTATATCATATATTACTTTTATAATTATATGCACGTATATATAATAATTATATATTTTAATGTAGACAGTTGAAAAATTGCTCAACATTGTGAAAGATCCGATAAACCGTAGTATTTGGGCATACAGTGAAAGAGCAGTCTTTAAATATAAAGTAACCAAAGAAGATAGAAATGTTTGGCAGGTATACATTTTTTGTTTTGTTTTTCTACTAATAATTAATAATTAATTAACATTGTATTAAAGAACAATCATATTTTTTTTTAGGTATATCTAGATAAAGAAGAATTTGAACTAGCTAAACAATATTGTAAAGATAATCCAGCATACATTGATCAAGTATTAGTGAAACAAGCAGAAATGTTATTTAAAAATAAACAGTAAGTTTTGAACTGTGTTTTTTTGTTTTTTGCTATTTATTTATTTATTTATTTATTAATACTTATTTAATAATGTTATTTTTGTTTTTGTTTTTAGATACGAAGAAAGTGCTTTAACTTATGCAGACACTCATTCATCTTTCGAAGAAATTTCGTTGAAATTTTTACAAGAGTGGCAAATAGAAGCTTTGAAAATATTTTTAAAAAAGGTAATCATATCAATTTTCTTTTATTTCGTAGATATATAAACATTTATTAATATTATTTATTTGATATAATTTTTGTTTGTAGAAACTCGATGGTTTGAAATCACAGGATAAGACTCAAATAACCATGATCGTTGTATGGGTAATAGAATTATTTATGAATCAAATGGGAGAAGTAAGAAGTAAGGATAATTCATATACACATAATCCACAATATATAGCGTTGCAAAAACAATTTGACAGTTTCCTTTCTATGCATAAAGTTGAGGTATGTTGTAATTATTATTTTGATTTGAAATCTATATAATATACTATCTAAAAAAAAAAAAAAAACAAAAAAAACAAAAAGATATAATTAATTTGTTCTTTCCTTTTCTTTCTACAGGAGTGTATAAAGAAAAATCGTAAAACAATTTACGAATTAATGTCGAGTCATGGTGATAAAGAAAATCTAATGCGTTTAACAATAATGCATAGTAATTATGAAGAAGTAATACGACAACATTTATATAAAAACAATTACTTAGAAGCTTTAGAGGTATTAAAAAATCAAACTAACAAAGATTTGTTTTATCAATTTTCTGGTACGTTGCTTCAAGAATTGCCACGTCCTACTGTGACTGCTCTAATTTCACAAGGATCTTTATTGAAACCATCAAAATTGCTTCCAGCTTTAGTATCTTGTAATAGCGACGAGAAACATGTAAGAGACTTTTAAAAATATTTCAATAATATTCTTTAACGTATTATAATGAATATTTTTTTTTTATTTGCATTGTTCATAGGCTAAAGAGATCATCAAATATTTAGAATTTTGTGTTTATAAACAAAGTTGTCAGGAACAAGCGATACATAATTTTTTACTTTCACTTTACGCACGTTATAAAGAAGAAGAAGTTATGCATTATATTAGTTCACAAGGTAAGTAATTATTACAGTGTGTGTATATATATTTCTTGTCATAGTTTGTTTGTTCTTTTATAATATAATTATATTTCTTTTAAGGCCAGTATATTGGTATGGTACATTATGATGTACATTATGCTTTAAAACTATGCCAGGAGGCTGGTTTAACAGAGGCATGTGTACAGTTATCAGCTTTGCTTGGTTTATGGACAACAGCAGTAGATTTGGCATTGACAATTAAAGTCGATCTTGCTAAACAAATTGCAGCAATGCCCTCTGAACGTGACGATGCTTTACGTAAAAAATTATGGCTTAAAATAGGTGATATATATATAAATTATTTCTTCTTATGTTATATATTTTCAGTAATTTTTTCATTCATATTTTATTATTTATTTATTTATTTTTTTTTTTTAGCTGAACACGTAGTACGTGAAAAGAACGATATACAACAAGTTATGGAATTTTTACAACAATGCGATTTAGTTAGGATAGAAGATATTTTACCATTCTTTTCAGATTTTGTTACGATAGATCATTTTAAGGATGCCATTTGTAAATCCTTACAGGTATATATAAATCAATAGAATAGATTAATAATTAATAAACGCAAACATTATTATTATTATTATTATTATTTAAATAGGATTATAATCGGCATATTCAAGATTTGAAAGAAGAAATGGAAGAAGCAACAAAAGCAGCTGAAGTTATTAGAAAAGATATACAAACTTTTAGAACTAGGTATATTTCATGTTAAACATCAATATAATATAAATATTTGTAAAAGAAGAATATTCAAAATACACAGTAATATACAATTATTATAACTGTAATTTTACAGATGCACTTTCGTAGATTCGAGAGATACATGCAATTCTTGCGACGTCCAACTATTATTAAGGCCTTTTTATGTATTTCCTTGTGGTCATAGATTTCACAGTGACTGTTTGGTTGCTGCATTAACCCCTATGTTATCAATGGATCAACGAACAAAACTTGCTGACCTTCAACGTCAACTTACCTTTATTTCAAATAGATCTGAAAATACGTCAACGTCAACTAGATTGACACCTTTACCTGCAAAGGATCAAATTAAAGCTGATATCGATGAATTGGTAGCTTCGGAATGTTTATACTGCGGGGAACTAATGATAGAGTAAGTTATTTCTTTTCGTTCAGTTATAAAATATTATGTCTATTTGTTTATTTATTATTTTATAATCAATGTTTCTTTTATTTTTGCACATGTTATATTTCAGATCAATCGATAAACCATTTATAGAAGAAGAAGATTATGAAAGAGTAATGAGAGAATGGGCATAATTACAATGAAGGTAGTAAAACATGTTTAATAAAATATCTAATAAATATATAAATAATGATGTCCACCATCTCTTGTTTAAAATATTATTGTCTGTCTATTTGTAATTTATACACCTAAATAAGTTTTACTATTTTTAAAGCATTTTATTTGTATTTATATAAAAATGATATTATGAGCCACCGTTCAGTGCACAACACATCGATTAACAAATCCACTTTTTGAAAAATCTTAAATTTAAAGTAATTAAACAATACACATTATTTCATCGCATTTCTCAACTTTTTCTTTTATGGAGTTAATCGACAATGTGTGCACTGAACGGCTCATATTATGAAAAAATGTATGAAATATTACATGTTTTTTAATCCAATCTACAATTTATTTGTATTTTGCGCATTTTTGTTTTTGTCTTTTTTTTTTTATTTTCTCTGTCCAAGAATAAATTATATAAATGTGTAAAAAAAAAAAAAAAAAATTCAATTTTTCTCTTTACTCTTAATACAAATACTTTTTTAATATCAAACATGCAAGAAAGAAATATTCATACTTAATTTCATACTTAAATAATACATCATATTTTTCGTATAATAATTATCAATTTTTTTTTTTTTTTTTAGGTATTTATTATTAACGCTTCCGCTTTTTTGTCACGTTTGCTGACAGATTTATTACCATAGATATAATAACGTAAGGGTTTACGTGACCATTCAGGACCACAACTATCAATACCTATTCTTGCACATTGAATAATTTTGATTTCTTCTTGATACGAATCATCTTCTATCCAAAGACCTTTCCATTCGCATAGCGAATATTTATTATGATTTTTATTTAATTGAAAAGACATACAAAGTTTTGAAGGTCCATTACAGAGTTCGTGTACTTTGAAATCTTTGATAGTTCCTTTCGACATATTAGATTTTTTTTTCATAATTCGTTGACTAGTCATATATTCCATGCCTTCTAAAGGTTCGACAGCTCTTATTAGTACAGCACTTCCATCACCTAAAATCTTAAAGTTTTTGTGTTAGCTTTGTACTCTTTGTTTCATTTGTTAACATTTCGATTTTCTAATAATATATAATAATGAAATAATTTATTTAATCGGTTGGTACGTCTATCAAATTTTTAACATTTACAATTGGGTACTCTGACAATAGCAGTGGATTTTTCATAAGGATCACTTTCGATCCATAAATAATTACAATTATAAATTAATTTTTGATTAAATTCATCTTCCTCGATAACGAATGAAGTACAAATTTTAAACGAATTATTACAAAGATCAGTAGTTTTCAATTTTTTAACATCCTTCGTTATTTCTTTTTCCTTTTGATTTTCTTTAACGCGCATATTTTGAAGCAATTCCATATAATCATGACCAATTAAAGGTTCAACAGCTTTGATCAATACATAAGCATTGGATTCTAAATTATTTATTGAAAAATATACTTTGAAAAATAATGAATGATTTATATTAAAGATTCTTCTTAACTCACCTTTACTAGATATGTTAAAGCAATAGTACATGCCGTAAGTCATGTATATGTAAATTGTTCCAGGTGACATGTACATCGGTATGTTGCGAGGTGTAACTTTGTTTTGATATGCATGAGATGCTTTATCAATTTCTCCTAAGTAACCTTCAGTTTCCACAATTCTACCTTTTAATATCGTTCCATTTTCTAATCGACGAACAAGTACTTTTCCTGTTGAAATATCAAAAAATGATATATTTAATATAAAACCATTTGAGACAAATATACTTTGTACATGTTGACTAAATTGAATTACCTAATAGATTTTGAGCAAGATCTTCGCATGGTGTATCATAAAATTCAAATGGAAGACGAGACGAACATATTTCTTTTTCCAATGGTGTAACCGGTGGATCCTCTAATTGTTTCAATTCATCTTTCATCATTTCTAAATCAACTATTGCTCTTATTTTTTTTCTCGTTACATTTTTATCCGTATCAGATATTTCTATGATTTCTTTCTTTCCTATTATACAGAATTTTTTTTTTTTTTTTTTTTATCAATACAAAATAGAAAATAATTGTAATATTAATAATTAAATGTATATTTGATTACCCTCAAAATCTTGTAATTTAATTGTTTCTAAAGATTTATCATTCTTATTTCGTAATACTTTTAAATTAATTTTAGATCTTTTTATTTGTTTATCCTTTGATTGTGGTAAATTCTAAAAAGTATTATGTATATAATTATAAATGAGACACAATCAATGAAGAAATATTTTGTTCATTACAAATTTATACAGAAAAAGAAAGAAAAAAAAACAACTACCTGTTTTGTTTCTGGAATCATCATAACTGTTTCAGAAGTATCATTTTCATTAGGATTTATTTTATTATTAACAGAATGAATCGTTTTGCTTCTTTTCATTGAGAAATTGTTAAATGTTAAATTAAATGTTTTACGATCAATGATTTTTATTTCTGTATATTCTATTGAAAAATAATTCTGTTAAAAATATTACATTATCATTTTATAGAGATAGATATGTTTGAAGTTGAACAAGAGAGCAGATAAACGTCAAACGTCAGTGGTACCACCATTAAATTAAAAACAACAAATATATATCTCAAGATAATATTATTTAAATATCTATATTTAGATATATCATCTCGTTGTGGCGGTAAAAGTGAATAGGAGATATAAAAAAATTAGTTTTGATATTATTGAGATTAAACGTCATGTAAATTTGTTGTTGGTTTGTTTTTATTCACATTGATTTAACATAATGTTGTAATAAAATTATACGTACGATGCAAAACTTGATTTAATGTTTTATAATTAATCAAACGTTGGAAAATTTGATTCATCGACGACATGTAACTATTCTACGATATTTATCAAAACGGTCGGCACAAACTTTTGTTAGGTTATGTATTACGAAACTTTTCTCCAACTTGTTTTTTTATCATCCAATTTCAAGAACGTAAGGGATAATATTTGTATTTCAAATGTCTCAAAAAAAAAAAAAAAGAAATAAAATCGTGTCGAATACTAGTTCGCATAGATATTTAATAAAATAATAATAATAATAATAATAAAGTAGAACTATACGAGAGAGATAGAATCATTTTATTTAATTTCAATGAAAAACACATTTTTAATGTATATTTTTTTTTTTTTCAAAATTGATAAGTAAGAAATTATTTTTTCTATTAGAATATTGGCCATTAATTAATATTGGAATTTATATATTAAAAAACAATTCATTTAGAAATATAAAATATATGAAATATTTGTAATAAAATTTTGAATATTACCGCGGCCATATGCAGCTCTTGAGTTTTAATAATTATCCGACAGAGGTTACCTCAATAGATCATTACTAGGGACCCTAATCATTACTAGGAGAATTCCCCATAGAGATACTACACATAGAACAGACAAGCCAGCATAAGACCTGTCAACGAAATAAAAAGAGATAGAACATGAGAGGTTGATGTTGTCTCTCTCTAACTTGCGCTGAGTGGCGCATGCGCATTAGTTTGCTAGTAGAGGTGGCACGACAAGTCTAATGCGCATGCGCCGGTACTGCATGAGTTAGAGAGAGACAACATTAACCTTTCAAAGAGTTTATGCAGAGACATTTACATTTACACAACCGCCTATGGTTTGTCTACTCTTTCTGTAATATCTCTATGGAAATGGAATTCCCTCGTAAGGGAATAGATGACGTCACATTATCCCCACTATCACTCTACGCTTCCGTCATTATCACGTGACATGAGCCATGTTTTACGATACGTATAGTTACTTTTCTAATTTAATTTAAATTACTAATAGATAATACAATTAAATTACTAAATAATAAATTTATTTCTTCGATCTGGTAACGCAGGTTTCATAAATTGTACCATAATATATATATGTCGAAGTAAAACAAATCTAATGTTTTTCTATACAAATAATTTGGCGGGTTTTCAATCAATTAAAAATTGCATTATCATTGAGAATAGATAAGAAATGAATTTTATTGAAATCTAATTCAGAAGCACTGTTAGATTGCAGTTTAGTCATTTACAAACAAATTTTCTAATCTGATCGTCAAAAGTTGCACAAAGATTATGAGATTTATGAATTGTTTGCTTCATTAATTACATTTACAAACATAAAAGTAATAAATATAATTGACATGTTTTTTCGAATTTGACAGAATTTTCTCTCTTCTTTCTTTCTTTCTTTCTTTTTATCTTTCACACAAGTGAAATTAATTTATCTAGGTTAAACATTACATATATATTTGTATATATTTGCATAAACATTGATTTTTCATTTTACATTATCATTCGTCGATGATGTTCAATGCTCAAAATGCTTTTCTTTATCTGACTTTGAAGCTTTACGGAAATCGTATTGTCCTTTATCAAAGCTTGACCGACATTCCTTCCAATACTGCGGAACCATGCTTGAATTAATTTGAATTGACCGCATATATGCAGTATCAAGGTCATCACAGTGGCGTCCAAACCGGTGATTCCGGTACAACAGATAACCGATGCCAGAATTCGACATATAAAGCCAATCTCAAAGCTCGAAGATTACAAAGCATTTGGTCCATCATATTTGATTTGAAAATATTATCCAACATCTATTTATAAATACTTAATAACAATAATAGTAATAATAATAATAATATTACTAAAAATAACAATAATAAATCATCCTTTTGTTTTATGATAAATTAGAAAAAGAATTGATTGACAAGGTAAATTTTATTGTATCGAAAGATATTTGGAAAAATCAATAAACAATTGGATTAATTAAAAAGTATTGAGCCTAAACAAAAAGCAATTGATAATATTTTATTTTATTTTTTTATAAGCAAAATTCTCTCGTACCATTTTTTATAGTTTGCATCGTTAAAATCATAATCAATTTTGATTTGATACGCATTAGAATACAATTGAATATTTTCTACAAAAACTAATTTAAAAACACGTATACCTAAGTCTCGTTTTATTCGAAATAACTTTTTCCTAATCATATTCAATTATGATTCATGACTTTCTTAAACATCCTTTATATATAACATACATATCGATTTACATATATATATATATTTTCGTATGATTTCATAGTTAAATTGTTTAAACAAATCTAGTAGAAACTTACACCTGTCAATACTTCAAGGTTTTTCCAATTCACTACTATTTATCGTTTAAAATCTCTGATACGAGAACACTGCTGACAGCTGTCAAAATAACCAACACGTGAAAATAAAATGAAATAAGACTTTTTCCATCATATTTTTCTAACCTTTTTTTATTTTTTTTTTATCTCTTTCTATCTCTCTCTCTCTCTCTCTCTCTCTTTTCTCGATCGACTATAGTCGTCCATGCTCTATTTATATTGCAAAATATCTTATTGGGAAAGTATTGAATATAATAACCCCGAATCGTTCGCCTTTTTATTACGATCTTGAATTTATTCATTTCTTATTTTTTTTTTTTTATTCTATTTGTCCTTCAATTAACGTTAGGTCTTTATCGACTAGACAACACGAAGATAGTTCTTATCGATGACACAAAGAGACGAGTTTCTTTCTCGTGTAATATCAGTACTGAAAATCTTTAAAAAGGATTTGAAAGGAAATGACAGGATATTTGAGATAGATGTAAGGAATACACAAATGAGCTACTGTTGTTGGTTGCTGACTACCTTTTGTGTTTCCTTTATCAATCGGTGTTGTTTTGTAATATTTCATGATTTCACTTTGTTCAACCCACTTGTTTATTCCCTTTTCGTCCATTTTCTCTTCTCTTTTCTTTTTTTGCACCATTCACTTACCCCTTTTTCTCTCTTTGTCCACTCTCTCTTTCTCTTTCTATTTCTTTCTTTCTTTCTTTCTTTCGTTATAAACGAACTGTGATATGATGAAACATAAGGATATAGAATACCAATATTGTTATCGGCCATTCGACTTGTACTTACATTAATATTTCAACGAAATACTCTCGAAAGAAAGAATATAAAGAAAATAACATATTCTTTTTGATCTTTCTCTCTCTTTTACTTTTTATCTATTTATCTTTCTATCTTATTATGATTAAATTATATCTCGTCTTTGTGTGATGTACTTTGTCGTATGATCGTGACAACATATCGTGACTAATATAAGAGAAACGAGAATTATGACGTTGTGTTGAGAGTTATTTGAGACGATGATTTTCTTTCTTTCTCTTTCTCTCTCTCTCTCTCTCTCTCTCACCCTCTTCTTACTCTTAACAAAAACATTCAAGAAAAAAAAAATATTCATATAACATTACCTGAATGTAATATCAACTCACTTCTCCCTACACATTCTAATTATGCGAAAAAACTTGTTCCCCATCCTAATTAAAAATTCAATCACGATAACATTTTTCAAAAGTAAAAACTTGTCGTGATAAGAGATCGTTCTCGTTTGTCATATGACTAATGTCATCGTTGATAAAACTGCTTTATAGAAAGATTTAAAACAAATGAAATTTACGTTCTTTACACTTTTGATATTGATTGAGATTACCAGAGAAGACTGGATATTATTAGGGTTGATGATAATAACGTTTAAATTTAGATTGTTGTTTGATTTTTGTTGAACCCAAAGTATGTAGATATAAAAAAGTAAGAAGATTTAGAAGATTTATAATTAGTTAATTTTAGATGGTAAATGAGTTTGTTTAATATATATTTTTATATTTAGATTTCTTAAAATTAATATTATCATTATTATAATTAATTATAATTATTATCTACGGTCAGTGTTGCGACAGTCTTTTGTTTATATATATATATATAGAGTATCACATTATTATATAAATTATAATTAAATTCTTAATTATATTTATTACATTAATTATTGATGACTTTAGAAATATGTTTTGCGAGAGTATTAACGAAAAGCATATTTTCCCTCCCCCATACCTGATTTTAGTCATTAAAAATTTGTATGACGAGCAATAATTCAAATTAGCATAAAATGTTAATTAATGATTTTTGACTGAACATATATATTATAGATGTGATATATTTGAAATAAATTTATTCGCGTAGAATTAATGGTCAATAAAGAAGCGTTATTTAATGTTGAAGGAACACTTTGACGCGAGCATTTTATTTTTTCATAGATTTTTGTATTTGTAGAAGACTCTTTCCTTTTGTTTCTGGTATAAAATAATAAACGTAAGGAACACAGGAGAAAACGATCAAACCGAATGACCAGAATACAAATTTTTCACCAATTAGGTCAATCAGTGGTTGAAAACTTTTCGTTGATATGAAAGATAGCATAGCATTTCCACAACCTAATAGAAGTGAAGTTAAGGTTTTCAAATCTGCTGGGAACATTTCTCCTAAAAGTGCACCTGGCACCGACACGAAACCACAAGCTAAGAAAATATTATAACATAACATAGAAGTGAGTGGTAACCACTCGAGGATTGACGATTCGATGCCAATCGACAATATGTGGAAATGTAGACCCAGTAATCCGAGAGATATAGCAACTCCAAGACCTGATATCATTAACAATGATCTTCTGCCAAATCTGTCTACTATAACAGTTGCACTAGTTCCAGCTATAATCGTAGCAAGTCCTAAAATCATGACAACCACGCTAGCTGTAAGATTCATTCCGGATTTAATTACGATTATTTCAGCGTAGGCGTTAATTGTTGCGTATCCACTTGCATGTACGAATACGTTCAATGTGAACAGGATTATGACATTCTTCAAATTACCTATGATCAAACGGACACTATAATTATTATTTGTGTCATCCTATTATTAGTTTAATATATATAGAGTAACTCTCTCTAATATGGTAACCACGTCTCAAATAAATAACGTAAATTATCGGTAACTAAAGTATAACAAATGAATAAATGAATTTTACAAACCAAAATATATATTTCTTTTTATTTCAATATTAATATTCATTTTTTATAATAAAAATAAAGTTTTATCTTAGTTATCGTATTTTTTATTATTTTATATATTCTTTTTCCTATAATTTCAAGACACACAAGTGTTCCATATTAAAGTTAGTTACCATATATATCTATTTTTGTTCTATATATATATATATATATATACGTATAATAAATAATAGATATACCTGGAAGTATGAATGCTTTAAGTCTCATGATAATACTGCTTTCAGCACCATCAACGAAATCCTGAAGCTCTCGCATCTCAGCCTTCACGTCAGCTTCTCGTCGGAACCACTTCAAAGATGCCTCTGCTTTGTCGATATCTCCGTGGAGGACGTAATGGTACGGTGATTCGGGTATCAGGGATACGAGAGCCATGAAGAGGATATTCGGTACGAGGCTCACGTAAGCGAACATCTCCATGGACAGATAAGGACCCATCACGTTGCCCAAGAACATACCCACGGACGCTGCGTTTACGTTCATGGATATCTGAAGGCGTGACCTCGGTTAAGATCTTCTCTTTTGTGAAAAGGCTAAGCTGAGTAGCTTTAGGGTATCTTACGTTCACAAGAAATTACGTATATCTATGTATGTATATGTATATGTGTGTGTGTGTATATATATAGTAAGTATCGATCCTATATTTATGCTGATACGTGTATATGAATTTTCAAGCTAATTTTGGGAATATGAGAATCAATAACAGTATAATATTATCTTCTTCGTATAGAGAAATTTGGAATAAATTGAAGAGGATAGATATAAAGAAACAAATCGGATATTTGTATAAGAATTAAATAAGAAAATATATAGAACGTTACCAAAGCTCCACGAATTGTCGGATCAGCGATCTCTCCTAGGTACAAAACGAGGGATAACCAGACCATGCCCGATCCAATTCCAGAACAGAATCTCGATATGTAGAGCCACGTAACTGACGTTGCGCATATACTGAATACCCAACTCAAGGCCAATGGTAGACCACCGATGACAAGCTGTTTCTTTCGTCCAACATACTCTGAAGATCGTGTCGTGACACACGCATTACAGATATGTCATCCTGAGAACAAGATCACCACAACTCAGAACACTCTCTCTCTCTCTCTCTCTCTCTCTCTCTCTCTCTCTCTTTCTTCCTGTCCTTTCATCAGGATTATTGACTCGGTTAGATCGATGTTCCGTTTCATTTTTTTTTTTCACTTTTTCTTTCATTTTTGTACTTTTAGGTTTCCTCCCTTTCAAAGAGTTTATTCAAATTTAGATCTTTTTGTTTCTACATATCGCCACTTTATCGTACAATTCGATAATTGCTGAGTCGTGGCTGGCTTGTTCTTAGGTCGCGTATCGCGTTGTTCTCAAATTGTTCTGTTCGCATAATTAGATAGAATAGAGGATCGGTTGAGTCAACTTTTAATCAAACTATTGTGAATATTCTTCTTCCTCGTCATTATTGTTTTATTTTTTCTTCGAAATAATATTTCGTATTAATTATTTATTCTTGACTATATATCGGAGAAATTTTTGTGATTTATCATCAAGATGGGATTGTCTCAACGAATCCTTTTTTCGATTTCAATGAAACATTATTACCTTGAATTACTGCACCGATTAGAGCTCCAAAAACTCTACCAAGATTTAAGAGAGAAGCTACCCAAGAAGCTTCGTTTTCCGTCAGTTTGATAGATACGTCGGCAGTAGTCGATGTTAATTGTGCTAAATATGGCGATGTCCAACCATTTGCAAGACCACTCACGATCGGTGCTAAACTTACTGTTCAAAATATTAACAAGAGGAATTCGTATGAAAGAAGACAAATATATTTACCTGCACAAGCTGCTAACCATTGAGTCCATATTATTAATTTTTTTGGATGTTGCAGTTTTTCTGGATCCTTCGTGTCAGACATTTTCGGATCGTTGGATCCTCCAGTTAGCAGCAGCAGCAGCAGCAGCAGCAGCAGCAGCAGCAGAGGGTTGTAAAAGCACACGTGTTGCGTGTGCCGTCAATGATTTCTAGACTGTCTTCCTATACGCTAATACACGGATCCTCCACATGAGGAAGGCGACAGGAGACAAGACGTGATGCATTTACTTTCCGATAAGACAATGACATATTTACTGTCGTCAAGACACGATTTGATTATTCATGAACGTCTTGCGTGTTTACATCTCAGATCGCGCGATCTATAAAAGGTGGTGTTATCTGAATGTATTTTCCACGAAGCGTCGTCAAATAGTTTAAACTTTGTCATTGTATCTTTATTATTTTGTTCTTTTCTTATTTTTACGTTTTTAAACATAAAGTCGAATCGTTGGAAAACATTGGTCACGTGTAATCATCTTACACATTTTCCTACTGATGATTGAAGATTATTTATCGTTGGAAATATATGTCGGATTTAATTACCGATGTGACATCGAACGTTACGCCAGAGAGATGATTGTTATGACTTTATTACACTGATTAGAACATAATGAAAATAACATATTGTTTAATGTGGATTAAACATTTCTAATGAATATTTATTTTATCTTATCATTCGATATAGGATAAAATTGTTATTTCCAATAATTACGTATACAACATTGGAATAATTTTACGTCACACCGTTTATATTTATTTGCAAATAAGTCTGTTTTTTTTTTCTTTACATCCTACCAGAAGCACGATCTTCATCTTTTATATTATTTATCTTCTATTACTGTTACGACTTGACGTTTATAATTCGCGTGAAGATCTAACATTTAATATATGTTCGAGTTGACGGAGAAGGCAGAGAAGACACCAGAGAGAAACTTGAATATATTTCATATAATATGGAGAGACGCGAGATGAGAATGGAGAAACAGAAGGTTCCGCTTACAGAGTTGCGTGTTCGTGATCCTATGACAGTTGTTGTGGAAAAACTTGGTGATAAAAGTGCACGCGTTTACGGTGACTTCAGGTCAAATATATACATACATGAATTTTTAGTCAACAAATTATTTCAAGTCCCGGAGTAACGTTCTTAACATTTATTTTTCGTTCTTAGCAAAGAAACTTTAAAAGAATTATTGATGCCATCTTTAACGTTGGTACCAAAAGATCAATCTAGCATTTCGAATTCTTTTCGAGATATGTTAGGTAAGTGTTTTTGAGGATCACGTATGAAAAAAATAAAAAAAATGATAACATATAAAAATGTTTAACTTGTTTCTTTATTTTTCTTGTTTAGATCCTCGAGAAACTGCAAGACGTTTTCGAGATCAGAAAAGATATAAGGTACATGTTTTAATAAAAAATAAAAAAAAAAAATAAAACACACACAAGTGGTTATACGACTTACAAGTAGTTAAAAGAAATGACATCAGGAAAAAAATGTTGCGCATAATGTTCGCATAATCTTTTCAGAAGAAAATTCGCAAGAGTATAAAAAAGCGAAACGATGTAACCTCGGACAGAGATAGTAGATGGGATCTTTACGATGAAGCGAGTAACAACGAAGAAATGATGAGGGAGATAACAAAAGAAGTAGATGTAGAAGAGGAAGAGGAAGAGACAGAAGAAGACGAAGTTGAAACTTTACCGAGTTGTCCTAGCTCGCTCACGGAAGACTTAAACTTGTCCTATGATGGAAAATGGTTGAGAAAATACATGAAGATTCCTTTGAGAATGGCATTCAAAGAAATTGTGGCAAAAAAACCTTACGATCCGGTTGGCTATTTAGGCTTTTGGTTATTAAATTATAAAAAATCTTTGGAAGAAAACAAACGACATTTGGAATTAGAAGAAGAGTTATATCGTTTACGATGTTTGATGATACAACCGGTACAAATAGATCCGCAATTAGGCTAGATTTATTACAAGATGTTAAGAAATGTAATTACGTTTCAGACACCGGAAGAAGAAGTGGAACAAGAGGTTCTCCAGAAGATGACAACAGGTGAAGAAGAGGAAAACGTTGAAGTGGATTGGAATTTTCAACGTTATAATAATAATAATAATAATTAATAACGAACATAATCAACTTTATTGAAAAATTCATTTATTTTTTAGAATAATTTTATCATGACAATTTTAATAATAAATAATTTATTTTATATTCATTTCTTTTTTTTTTTTGATTGTGTCAACGTAACATATACCATAATAATTATACAATAATAATAATGTATTTATTAAAAAAAAAAAAGAAAGAAAACAAAAAAAATTAACATTTTAAGGCAATCTTATTCTGCAATATTAACGAACGGTCTTCTGCCGGACCACATACTGGATATTACTCCTAGTACGTTCGAGGAATCTTCTAAGTACCGAAGAATTTACTACTGCGTCGATAGATGGTATCACGCTCGTGGTAGCTCAAGCTCGTTTATTTCCGATGCGAATCGAGCATCTTCGGCGACGGTTCGCGCTTCTCATGCGGGGGTGCGTTCAGTTCGAATCGCGCAGCCGCTCGTTCTATCTCGGTGGGCGCTTCATCGAAAAGCGTTGGAAAAAAAGGGGTAGAAAAGCGATGGACTAAAGAGGGCGACAGGGAGAAGTAAAGTGAAAGAGAATAGAAGAAGAGAGAAAGAGAAAGAGAGAGACAGAGAGAGAGAGAGAGAGAGAGAGAGAAAGATAGAAGGGGGGGAGGCAAGCGATAAATAGAGAGGTAGATAGATGGATACGTAAATAGATAGATAGATAGTTGGATGGATAGATAAATTGGTAAATAGATAGGTAGATAGAAAGAGAGGGAGAAAGGAAGAAAGAAAAATAGAGATAGAAATAATAGATAAGAATTAATTGGAAAGATTAAAGTCGCGATCGCGTTGCGAGAGGATGAAGTTTCCTCGAAGGCGCGCGATCGCGGCACGGTGGATGATAGAAAAGTACAGAAAGTGCTGCTTGGTCGGACGCGTGTCGAAAGAGGAAAAGGAGGAAGAGAAAGAAGAGGGTAGCAGCGGTTGAGATGATGGTAGTGGTGGTGGTGGTGGAGGTAGTGGGTGCCCCCTCTCGTTATTGACGCGAGGGTTGGCCGAAAGCGGCGGCCATGTCGGTCGAGGATTTCGCGTCTTGATCGCCGGATGGCGCTGGTTCCGTCCTTGCTTCCGTTGTCGCGGTCCACCCTGCCTGCGCTGGAATGCCCTCGAGGAGGAGGAGGAGACYGTCGAGCCTTTCTACGGGGCCCCTTTCGCGTCGCGATCAGGTGACTACCTCTTAGTCCAACACCATATCCGGCTGTTTCGTCGTTTCCGCGTTTTATTCGCGTTTCACTTATCGCGTTTATCAGCCGGACGTGTCAGTGTCGAAAGGGTGAAAAGGGTGAAAAGTAAGAGAGGAAAGAACTCACGCACTGTGTATTGAAAAGCGAAGGATGGGGATGAAGTGAGGGGGTTGGTAGTGCAAAGTAGGGTGACGGTAGAAGGGAAAGAAGAATGAAAAAAAAAGAAAGCAAGATAAATAGATAGATAGATAGAGGGAGAAAGAGAGAGAGAGAGAGAGAGAGAGAGAGAGAGAGAGAGAGAGAGAAAGATTGAAAGATAAAGATTTGGGGAGAGTAATAAAGAAAAATCAAATAAACGAGTGGTCCATTTTCAAACACGGAAGAGAATCGAGGTGATAGTTGTGCGGTGCTGTGTCTTTTTGTTGTGACCTCG